AAAAGATGAAGTGAGCTAAACCTGGATACTCCAAATCTCCAACTCACAATGACTTAAATTTGCATCCTTAACCACGAGATTAGTGTAAAAATTCTCATTGGCTTTCATTGCATATACACATTTACTATAAAATTAAAATCAATTTTCAGCATGAATAATATGGTAATATCAATAACAAAATTTATAGCATCCATCAAATAAAATATTTTATTTTAGTTAATCTACTTTCACCAAAGTTATATTTTTATTTTTGTTATATCTAGTTGTGATATTCTTCCAATTGTCTATCAACTTTTCACTATGTTTTTATTTTCTAGCAAAACAATGTCCTATTGTCTATATGATCAAACAAAGTATGTAAATAATTTTTACATTTTTAAAGTTTCTAGTAAATTTGTTCTTTAAGATAAAGTACAAAAAGAATGCTCATTTTATTTGGAATAAATACTCTACAGAGTACATGTTTAGTGCTTTCCATGAATTGGTTTTAATAATAATAATAATAATAAATAGTGTTTAATGAATTAATAAATTAGTAATTGAAATGGATTTTAAATGCTTAAGCGCTTATGGAACCTAAATTTGAAAAGGGCTTTCAATGAGTTTAACCTACACTTTGCTTTAGTTTTCAATCCAAATAGTTTCTGCTACGTTTTGTATTTTAAATATGATGGAGAGGAATGGAGAGGATATGAGGCTTAGTGTCTCAAATTTATTGTACTTCGATCGTGAGGTATTGCCAATAGCATTCTTTGCCTCATTTAAGTTGGAGGTGTTACGGATTAATTGTCTAACATTAGCGTAACACAATAGTGTTAAATTTAACCGCAAAGGCTAGATTTAGATATAAAACATGAAGTTCACATCGGCAGTGAAAACCTTAAAGGTCCAAATTAGCTTTAAATAATTAAGTTCACAACGAGTAATAAATATACAAGTTTACGTTAAATAATCGATCAGTAAATCCTAAAGTTTACCCTAAAGAAACTATAAAGTACTAAGATAAACTTACATCAAGTAATAAATCATGGAAATTTATATTGAGCGTATAGCTAGCAAAACAAAAAAGGAAAACGTTAATTAAATTACATAGTAAAAAAAAAAAACAATTAAGTAAACTAAAAATTTGTAAAGGAATTAAGCATGTAATTATAAATAAAGTTGTAAAGAAAAAAAAAGCACATGTAAATAATATGATAAAGAAAGCATAAAGATATATAAAGTATATTGCTGAAAATAATAAAGTTACAAAAAGTAAATTACGAATGAAAAATTGTGGAAAACTTGAGAAAGCTAATGTTGAATTTGTATCATGGGGCATGCTAAAGAAAATACAATGAACTAGACTCTTTAAATACTCTTCTAAGATCTAAACTTCCTTGTGATACAAGGAAGAAAATGAACTATATCTAGGAGTTAGTCTCTAATTAGGAAAAATATTAATTAGGAAAATTATTAATATCTAGATCGGATAAGGAAATAAATAATCTAAAGAAATTAGGACTTTGAATTATTTATAAAGATAAATAGGAAATCTTTAGCTTGGGAGTATATGAAATCTTATAAAATAACTTTGATCACAAAATTTTCTCGGTCCAAATGAGTAGTATCAATACCGACCGTGTTCGATATGAATTCAATAAATAATTTTCCTTCCATCTCGATAGTACTAGTTGTCGGTCTTCTACTAGTCAATTCTTCTACATGTATGTTTATGGTTTGAAATGTTTTTTTTTTTTTTTGGATGCCAATACCTACAAACCCTAGAGACAAGTTACAAGCTTTATCCAAACACACTAGCCTTCGAGAAGGCTAAACAATTGTACTTTTCCCTCATCAAAGATAATTTTTTTTATAAGCCAAATAATTAATGAGCTTATGGCTCATATTTTTTTTAGAGTAATGGACAAATAAATAAAGTAGAGTATTGACAAAAGGATTTCTTAGTCATTAAGGATTTATTATCCTTAAAGGATTCTTTGTTCACTAAATATTTTGGTTGTTATAAATAGGTGATTAGTTGTATGGTTTTAATGTCTAAAAAACACAAAGATTGAAACTTTTTTTTTCCTTTGAGTGTGAGAGTGGGTGTAAAAAAATCTTGGAGATTGAGTTTTGGATATAAAAATTACAATTATATTCTTGTAATAATTTTCTCTCATAATAAAGAATTACTCTTTAGTTTGTGGAGCGAGTAGGATTTTGTGTGTATACTCTTTATTCACCTTTGTTATTTTTTTTCATTGAATTGAATTTTTTATAGTGGTGTGTTGAATCTCGAGTTCTTTAAATTTCTTAACAAATTCGTATCGAGCTTTGGTTTTGAGAGATTCGACTTTTGATTGCGAACAATATCTCGCACATAACAAGTTTTAATTTACCTTGAAACAATTTAACAAGAATGGCCGTTTTACTCTTTGGCAACAAAATGTAAAAGACATACTTATTCAATGACGCTTAGCTAAAGCCTTGAAGGAAAATGATGGAAATCTAGAAGAGATGGAGGAGCATGAGTGAAAAGAGTTGTAATTAAGACGTGTGAGCACGATTCGACTACACATTGTCGATGGTTTTGTTAATCATATTATGGATGAAGATTTAGTTCTTGCAATATGGGAAACGTTAGAAAATATTTATTTAGTGAAGAGTTTAACCAACAAGTTACATCTAAAGTGGTAATTTGACAAACCGAAGACGGAAGAAGGTGAGAAATCTCATGAAGCAATTAAATTTGTTGATTGGTATACTAGATCAACTAAAAAAAATTGATGTCAAGATTGAAGAAGAAGACAAAGCCTTTTTTCTTCTTATCTCTCTTCTCGATTCATTTGAAATCCGATGAAGATGTTGTTGTATGATAAAGTACAAACCGCTCTTTTATCTCATGAGACGTAGAAAAAATCGGATAAGAAAAAGAATATAACTTTATACCGATGACTAGAAAGGACTATCAAAAAGGAATATCGAGTTAAAAGAGGATTTTAGAATGTCGAGTTCGAGTCTAGATCTAGCAGAAAAAGCATTCAATATTAGTTACATAAAGAATTTGGTCACATCAAGTGAGATTGTTCTTGAAAAAAATAAGATGGATAAATCGATGATGATAAAAAATTCTTTGATTGTAGTAAAAGACTATGAAGATATCCCCATAGTCTCCGAAGGTATTGATAGTTTTTCTCTTAGATAGTTGAATGTTAAATTATGCATGTGTGTTATATGTGTATTCTAGAAAGGAATATTTTGATGAGTCCTAAGAAAAAAGATTGGCACCATATCTTTAGATGGTGGGTCATCTTATGATGTCATGGGACTTGGAATGGTGAGAATCAAAATGGTTGATGAAGTAATTCATACTTTGGGTGGTGTAGTTTATGTCCTAAAAATGCATGGGAATCTAATATCGTTTAAGTCGGTTAGAATCTAAATGATACACTTATTCTACTACATATGGAATCTTAAAAGTCACATAATGCGACACAATGTTATGAAAGAAAAAAATGTATGATGGTTTATATCGTTAGATTGGATAGCCAATAACCTAGAGCAAGTGGTTGGAAATAGAGTGCATAAAGTGGTAGCTACTTAAAAAAGAGTCTCGTTGGTGATTAGAAAAGAGACAAAAATTATAAATTATTAGGTTTCGGACTATTGTGAGGAGAAAGATTCTCTTGAGAGAGAGTATGAATCGAGAATTCTCTCTAGATTTAACAAGTAAAATTGGCTTACGACAAGTGTACATGAGTATTGATCATGTTTTTAAATCACGTAGAACTAAAGATAGTTTACCGATTTAAGTCATGTATAACTAGTAAATTTTAAGACTAATGGTTATTTATACCTTTTTATTTGCAATATTTGTGAGCAAGTGGAGCTAACAAACTTCAATGCTAAAAGTATTCACCAAGGTAAGATTGTTGGGCTTATAACCCATATTTCTTAGAGTAATAGCCAAATAAATAGGTTGAAGTATTGACAAAGGTTTCCTTGTTCATTAAGGAGTCATTATCCCTAAATGATTCCTTGTTCACCAAAGATTTTGGTCATGATAAATAGGTAATTATATGTATGGCTTTAGTATGTGAAAAACACAAGTGGTTGATAGTTTTTTTTTTCTTTAAGTGTGAGAGTACCTATACAAGAGGTTTTGCGATTAGATTTTAGGTATAAAAATCACAATCATATTCTTGCACTAATTTTCTCTCATAATAAATAATTACTCTTGAATTTATGGAGTAGGCATGATTTTACCGAATCGCATCAAATCTTATGTACTCACTCTTTATTTATCTTTGTTAATTTTTTTTCATTGAATTGGATTGTTCGTACTCGGTGTGTTAGATTTCGAATTCTTTAAATTTCTCAACAACAATTTAGTCTAAGATTATTGAAGAATCTAAAATTCAGTTATACATTGTTTTAGATGCTTATTACTTTAAGTTGTTTATAAAGTGTGTAATTCTTTAATCTCTTGTGATGTTTATAGCGAATGAATCGTCTTAATCTAAAAGGTTAATATGTTAGGTAAAGCTTCATATTAGTTTTATATTAACTTTTAGACACATATTTCAAGTATGCCTTTGGATTTAAAAATTGCACATGCCTATCATTATTATTTTGTTTTTAATTATTTAATTTTAATTAGAATAAAAAATGAAGATATTAGGATTCAAATTTTTGATTGTTTGATGAATAAAACTCTAATATTATTCTAAAGGTGTTAGGTTGGACATGTATAGTTATATAATTGGGATCAATTTTTTTTTTTTTTAAAAAATTCGAAAGAGATTGAATTAAGGAAATAGCCAAAGGGCTAAAGGCAACCAATTGCAGGCAGTTTCAGAGGATAGGGTACAGATTATCAGCAACAAGAGAAAGGAAAATAATTTCTTACACATAACTTCGGTTTTATTTAATAACAGATTACACAATCAAGGATTACATTTTGTCTCACTTATGAAGACAATACAAGTTAGTGGAGATTTACAATCGAGCCCATGTGCCTATTTCTTGAGAAATTCTGTGAACCATTGGGCTGAGAGTTTAGGATATCTTTTTAGTCCATCTTTGAAATCGACATAATTCAGACCAAAACGTGATGTGTATCCCACTACCCATTCGAAGTTATCCAATAATGACCAAGCAATATATCCTTTCACCTTGACACCATCCCTACCAAAAAGAACAAATAGAGATATATTAATACATCTTTAAAAAAAAAATCATCTTTCATGAGCTAGGTAAAAAGATACTTGTGTACGTTAAGCCCAACTTAGCTTGGCACTGATGACGCTAGTTTGGCCTAATTTTCATGCACTCGATTAATTCAAATATTCTGGCAAATTGTATTGAAACTCATGCTAGGGTGCGACAATTTTTTTTTTATTTATGGACTATTTGCTTAATAATTCTTGTTTGTCAGGATCTATATATCCATCTACAGTGAGTGATTGTCCTTACAATTTATCATTTCAGAATAAAGTTTTTTTTTTTTTTTTTTCTGGTTCATATATACAGGTATGCATGCATGTAGATAAGAGAGAGTTGTATTAAAAACTTACTTGATGGCTTTTTGCAGAAAAGAAAGATGGCCATAAAAATAATCGATCCTATGGTTGTCAGTAAGGGCTTCCTTTAGTGGCGATTTTGGGTTATCAGTTTCATCAAAACCTTAAAAAAAAAAACAAAAAAAAAAGTGAGATATATTTAATATAAAAACTCGAAAGGATATTTAACAAAAACTATCTTCCTTTCAATATAAACTTCGCTTAGTATATTATACCAAAAAAATAAAAAAATAAACATTATTTACCATTTTCGGTGATGTAAATAACTGGATCATTGTATCTCGTCTTTATGTAAAGCAAAAGATCGTAAATTCCTCTTGGGTAAACATGAAGCCAAAATGAGCCTGCCTGCAATGTTTTATTCCATGAAATGATGATTAAGGAGAGAGTTCAAAGAATAAGATAAAATTTCTTTTTTCCAACTAAAATTTTATGAAAGAAAAATAGCTAAAATAAGAAATTGCAATAAATTAAAAAATATGAAGAAAATTATAGCTAATCTTACCGTTGGACCGATGAGGACTCCATTACGATCAACTACACGCACAGCCACAAGCCAGGCAATTATTAGTACGCATGGAATTATTAAAAAATATCCAAAAAAACTCAAAAACACTGGTTAATGAAATCTTGAAGTTGTGCTTACAAAAGGAATCAACAAGGGAATCTCCGTCGTAGCTTGGATGTGTATTATTAGATTGAGATTTTTGTGCCACATAATTGGCAGTGTAATAATTCAACCCAATAAAATCAAACGATCCTTTTATAGAACCAGCTTGTTTCTCAGAGAATTTGGGCAATCTTTCCCCTACAAGAGATCTCATTGAACTCGGATATCTACCCCAGCTTAATACATCCATAAACCTACAAAATTACCCCAAAATTTATTAATAAATTCATTTATTATTAAATTCTCTCTAAAAAATAAATTACGATACATCAATAATAATTAATAATAATAATAGTTGTCATTAAATAAAGAATATCTCAAATGAAATTTAAGCAGCTACATACGTACCATCCAAGACTGAAATCGAGGGCTCGTCTTACAGCCTCACGGTCTTCTTTAGCATCAGACAATGGCACATACCAATTTGATTGCAATGTAATCCCTATCTTGCCTTTTTGTTTTGCCTACAATTTTTTTTAGCATTTTTGATAAAATCACAATATATATTCAATTAAATTATTTTGAGCAGATGGAGTTGTTATACAAATCAAATTGGATCGTTCTTTTTCTAGAAATTAATAATATTAATCGGATGATTGTGAGTTAAACCTGAAATTGGGTCTTGTACAGATTTACAGCAGCAGCATGAGAAAGAATTTGGTTGTGTGTGACTATGTATGGCTCTGTTCCTGAATCCCCACCGGTACAATTTCTTTGCATCCAAGCAGAACATCGAGCTGGTGGGAATACACCCAAACTATAGGCTTGCATGCTAAACATGGCTGGTTCATTTAATGTGATCCAGAATTTAACTCGATCTCCAAATTTTTCGAAACAAAGTTTCGCAAAGTCTACGTAATCATTCCTGCATAATTTAACAGATTTTGATTAGCTAAAAAAAATAAAATTATAAGATGAGTTAATTTAGTTTATTACATACATAAAAAAAGAACAAAGAAATTGAAATTGAATTATTGTGGTAATAACCTCAAAGATATTATATTATTAATAGTCACAAATTCTTTTTTTATTTTAATTTGATCATCAAGGTATTTCAAGTCTAAAAACTCATATTACTCTCTCGTTATTTTGTTAGATACACAAGAGAGATACAATTACTAAAAACTTTTTTTTTAGCATACCCAAATACTTGAATACAATATCATTTTTTAAAAACAAATAAAACCATTTTCACTCAAATTAATCTTCTTAGGTATAATCACTAATTCAACGATGTAGAAGTCAAAGAAAGGCACGATTTGCAATGTGGTATAATTCTATTGTTGATTTTAGAGGGGGAAAAAACCCTTTAATATTGGAAGAAGAGGAAGACGAGGAGATTTACTTACACAATTTTATCACTTAAAAATCCTCCATACTCAGTTTCTAAAGCCTGTGGAAGATCCCAATGGAAAAGCGTAACAAAGGGTTGTATGCCTGCAAACGATATAATTAAAGAACAAATTAAATTAATGATTTACTTGTAGACAAGATTTGTTGACGATTACTAGTTATATAGAATATAACCATTAGCCAGAAGTTCATTGATGAGATTGTTGTAGTAATTGATTCCTTTCTGATTCACACCCCCGCTCAGTTTTCCTTCTGAAAAGAAAAATAAAATAAAATAAAAATTGGTTGTAAGAACTTTTATTTATCTCTGTGGTTAAATTTTAAATACAAATTAATTAACATTTCAACGTAAAATTGAATGTTAAATATTAGAACTTGTAAAAGGATGAGAAATTAATGCAAGTGATGATAATAAATTTTGAGTCTTCTTACTTGGCAATATTCTAGGCCATGAGATTGAGAATCTGTAAAAGTCAAACCCCATTTTTTTTATAATCTGAACATCCTCCTGCAAGAACATTCAGAAAATAAATAAATAAAGCTCGATTACTCTACCCCTTTGCCTATACATCAACTTCATATCCTGCCTGCATTTATTAATAATCATTAAAAATTGAAAAAAAATCTGAGTATTTTTTAAAAATTTTCTATATATACCTTGTAGCGATGATATGAATCTACGGCGACATCTCCATTGCTGCCATCAGGTATCCTGCCTGCATTTATCCATGGATGCTTTAAAATGAAAATCTTACAAATATTTAAGCACAAAAGGAAGACAACAACTTAAAAAATGAAACAAAATATGATTTGGTAACCATGTTCAATTTCGTATCTGTTTCTGTGTATTTATTTATTTATTGCAATGAATAAAAGAACAATTAGAGGTAGAGGTGGAGATTTTGTTCACTATTCTTTTTTTTTTTTTTTTGACTAATAAAATGGGTCATTTAAACAACGCAAAAACAATATAAATGAAACAGTTTTATTTGGCTTGATGATAGACCAGTGCAGGAGCTACGAGATCACCCTAATCATCATTCTTGATTCATATATATACTATAATTATCATCCTTAATTCGCAGAAAAAGCGAGTGAAAGAAACAATTTAAAGAATTAAGAGAGGCAGAGGCAGACTTGGAAATTTATGAGTGTAAACATCCCATATACTTGGTCCCCTGCCATCTTCAAATGCTGCGCCTTCGTACTGATAAGAAAACAATTAAGATATATATTGCTTAACATACATAAATATACTCAAACTTGCAATGTATAGAATCTTTCAAAAAACAAATGAAAGGAACCCAAAACTGACTTGGTATGCTGATGATGCTACCCCAAAACCAAAATCTTCAGGAAAATTCTTGCGGTTAAACGAACCCGTGTCATATTGTGTAGCATCAGCTAGGCTATTAAAACAAGAGCCGAAAACCAGCAGGAGGCTCAATAACAAGTAGCTATGAATGGCCATTTTTCAATTTGATTTAAATTGTTAGCAGGCTGCCTAGCCTTTATATAGATGTTGGATGTGAGAAAACGTCTCAAGAAAAAAAGACAACAGACCACAACACGAACCTCCAGACAAGATACAGATGTTTTACGTAAGAAAACAGCTGCACAAACTAGATTTAACAGTTGACAAGGATTAACATAAATGTCGGACTATATATAGGCATATCTAGATATAATCTCACTCTTTGACTCTGTATGATTTTGTTTAAGACTGAATTCAACTTCTAAAAATAGGCAGATGCAAATACTCATACCGTTGATTCCTTTAACTTGAGCTCGGTCCCTTGAGATCCGACAAACATAAGGCTAAATCAGAACGGATTTTCTATCGGTCTTTTCGATGATTAAGTTGGTAGTTTTTATATGATAGTAATATTTTTTATTCGTGTGTATACTATAATTCTATTATTACTTTTATACATACTTCGCTCCTTGTTGCTTGTCCCCCAAGTTTATTCTAGGTGCCCCTCCTGAAGGTATTACTGTCTTTTTATTTAGAGAGTGGTATATACCTATACCATTCGTACCTCCTCAATGACGGGTCGTTCAATGAATGGAACGATGAGTCGTTTCTTTTTCTTATCGTTTTTTTTTCGGCTCGTGTATCGTACGTGCTAGATGGACTTGAAGGAGCGCGTGTTTCTACACGCTGTTTGCAGTGCTTCTAAATGAAAGACGAAGGGTCTTCGTCGTTTTGTTTTTTTTCCATCGTCATGATTGCTTCCATTTTCTTTCTTCCGTCTCTCTTTCCTGGGTCATCTTTGCTTCGCTTGCTTCAACTTTGTAACTTCGACTTCTCTTCGAGGCGATTGGAGCTTCCTATCCATTCCTTCTTTTGCGACCGTTCTTGTTTAGTAGGTACGTATGTTTTTCCTTCGTTTTTTACTAAATGGGTGATTCTCGAGATAATTCTATCAGTTTAGAGGACCTAGATTTAGACCTTTTTTCCCTGAACTTTCCCTCGTCTCTTTTTTGTTCATTCATCTTATGAAAAATTTGATTTTTTAGGATTCCGTTGGATAGCAACAATGAAGTTAATTCCTATTCTTGCTGAACTAGTTCGCTATCTAGACACTGTAGATAGCGAACAGGTAGAGACTGCCAACTGCTTTACTGTTTCCTCAGGCTCTCCTTATTCCTTCTCTGATCGCTTGATGGCAATAAATCCTAATCTCTGGATGAGTTATCGGGTGTGCCTTAGGACCATATCCTTTCCTCCTTTGTCCGTAGTGTCTTGGAGGATAATGTTCCGGTCTACCGATAAGAGTCGGAATGCAAAGTATGGCTTAGCAGTCTATGGAATCTGAAAGCATAGGAATGCATGAAATGGTGTTTCAAGGAGTTAGTCCAGACCCCATGCTAATTGTTCAGTTGGCCGTCTGCAACCCAATAGCCACTGAATATGCCAAATGTCCTTAATGCAGAAATTAAGTTCGTCGGTACAGCGCAGGAATTCTTTCCAGTTTTGTGGTAGGTGTCATCACTCTCTAATAGGGATTAAGGAAAGGGTGAAGTGCAATGTTGATGGGACCAGTTGTAAGGGACGATACGATGGGAGATTGGACTCCATTTTCAGAGATTGTCATGCACGGCATATTTGTTGATACAAAGGTCAAAGGGTGTATGACAATTTAAAATCCTCACATGATGGAGGCTGTGCGTGGCTTTAGAAGCAGCTTTGCAATTTGGTACAGAGTGGTAGTTGATCTTGAGACAGATGCTTTTAGGGATTTTCATAATTCAGCAATATTGGGAATTTAATCTCATTATGCATAAATTAAATTTTATAAAATAAATAAATAATTAATTAATTAAATCAAATACACGCAACAATCAATATTATAAAATAAATCAACTTAGAATACAACCATAAGAATTTTAGATTTACGTGAAAAACTCTTTATGTTATAGAACAAAAAAAAATTATGAAACCAAATTAATAATCGAGTTTAGTCAAGAAAGCTGAACTTGAAAAGCAAAAGTGTTGAGTTACTTGTCTACTTAAATTCATCTCATCATAAAAATTTAAAATCTATAAAATCTTTATTTATTTTTTTTTTTTACAAAATTATTGTGTGAGATGACTATCTTGAATACATACTATAATTCTAAAAAAAATCTTAATATTTGATCCGCCAAAAATCCTTGCTTTTTTACTATAGAAAAAAAAAACTAGTATTTTTTTTCTTTTTTCTTCAATTATTCTCTTTGTCAACTGTACACAAAAGAGGGGAAAAAAAGATAAATTCTTTATTTTATATATATGCCGTGACTAAATAGTAAAACAAAACTTTTCTTTCTAGTCTTACAATAGAACTTTTCTTTTTTAATTTCTTTTCTATTTCCATCCTTTTCCTAATATATTCTTTCATGGTTATGCTAAAGTTGCTCAAGAACTAAAACTTAAGAGCATCTCCAATTATGCTCTCTGTTTTTAGTTAACATTTTTAATATAAATAGAGAATATCATTAATTATATAGATTGAAGATCAATATCCTCTCTAATACTACTCTCTACTTAACTCTTTATTTTGACAAAATCTGTAAACCACGAGATAGATTATTGGTGAAGAGATTGAGTGACATAGGAAATAGTAATTTTCATTAATGAAATATAAGATAAAAAGTCATTTGAACTCTCTAGTATTGAAGAGCAAAAAACACTCTCTATATCAATTTTAAAGATAGAGGTTGTGATAAAGAGAGCATTGAAGATAAAATTTGGATCAAACATCTTTATTATAAAAAAAAATCTTAATATAAAGAGAAAATTGGAGATGCTCTAGGCATATATTCAACAAGCAACTACAATTTGCCATATTAATATGTTGATTATACTAATTTGATGGGTCAATAAATAAGAAAAAATGTCATTAATTTGATGTATAGTTTATAAATTACATATTAGATACATGTTGCTTTTTCTCTAAATTCTCTTTCAAATTTACTCTATGAATGGTTACCAAATCTAATTATTGAAATAAAATATAAAACTGAAATATTTGTAAATTATATATCGTTTGACGAAACAACTCAAAACATAACAACTTATTAATAGTTTGTTATTTTTGTGATTTTGATGTCTTATTAATACCCATTTAAAAAAAAAAAAAAGCATATTTGAGATTTTTTTTCTTTTCCTAAATTGTCCTACCAAATTTTTTATATAATGAACTTACTTTACAAATTATCAAATGAATATAAATAGGAAAAAAAAACATAATTACGAGAATGGTTAATATGTATGACTTTCTGTTTTCATGGCATGCAATAAACAAAATGTGAAATTTATGAGTTCAGGAATTTGGTCTTACGTCTTTTGTCTGCAGCTAAATATTTTTAACTGTGCATCGTATTAGAATAAAGTGTGTTAGATTAATGTAGATGTAATCAGCACATATTTTGGACGACCTGAAATGGTAAATATATGTTTTATTCATCAAAAACAAAGTAGACCTCGTTTTAAAAGACGAGAAACATAATTAAGAAAACAAAATTTAAAATTAAAGTAAATTAGAGATATATTGAGCGAAGCGATCCGTTGAAGAGAATGGGGCAATTACCCCTATTTTTTGTACTTCAGCCCCTTCATTACTTTTTTTATAGATATAATTGTGATAGATTTTCAAATAAAATTTAATTAATTGCCTATATAATTTTGTATTCCTAGTAATAGTTATAATGCGACGTTATGTAACAAAAACACCAAAAACAAATAGCACTATTCCTTCGCTGATAGCTATAGTTTTTTTTTTTTTAGAGTCCTATTTATTTATTATTATTATTATTATTTTGTCATCATCGGTAGGCAATCCATGTTGTTTCCCTGCTCTAATACAATCTTAATTTTACAACAAACTGACTTTAATAAAGAAAATGACAAAATTGTAATAGTTTATTGTTACTAAATGAAGGCTAAATTGTCCCATCTCTCCTGGATTTTGGTTTATTTAAAAATCAATTTTTAAACTTCTAATTTTAAATTTGACTTTTTTAGACTTTTTTTATATATCAAAAAAATAATTGTAACATAAATAGTCTCATGATTGAAATTATTTCATAATACTTTCAGACCTTGAAAAATTCTAAAAATAAAAAAATGTATTGAACTTTTCTTAACATGTATGCAAAACTTCATCTCAAAATACCAAGAATTGAATTTTATAATGGATCAATAGTTGAAAATCATAAAATGAACAAAAAAAAAAAAAAAAATTAAGAGACATGAAATTTGGAATTAGAAGTTCGAATACTAATTTTAAAAGAATTAAAATTCAGAAAAGGTTTGGCCCAATTAACTCTAAATGAATTAATGATTATATTTGTCTCTCTCTCATTGCAAGCAAATAATTAATTAATCAAGTCTTTTTATTAAGTGTTAATTGAGTTTCTATGCTGAATCAATGTTTTTTAATATACTCTCCATTGGGTGACATCATTGATGCCATTAAATAAATTATAGAATCATATTACACATATTTTTTGACGTCGCGTTCCCATTAGTTATTTTTCTTTTTTCTTATTTATTACATATATCATTTATTGAAATTAGAAAAGAAAAACAAAAAAATAATTAAAAATAAACAACACAAGTTTTTTGACATCATGGCTCCTTTTAGTTTTTTTTTTTTCGTTTTTTATTACATAAAGCATTTATTGAAATTAGAAAAAAAAATCAAAAAATAAATAAAGATTCATCACTAGTTTTTAACGATGCCAAGCACATGGCTCCCACAGAAACCTCATTAAAATTTCTAATTTTACCTATCATAATTTTGTTGATAATTAGATCTGACTTCACTCATCAAATGTACAACAGAATTATAAAACTAACCAAAACCCCATCCCACCAAATAGCCATTTACCTTCAAGAAGATGGCGACTCCAACCAACAATATTAGACTTACAAGACAGGCCGATTTCCGTAAACATGGAAATTCTCCCGAAGGATGTTCTCGTGACTAGAGAAGTCTGCATTAAATCAATATAGTCTTTCAAGAAAATGGCGAGACTCTAATCAACAATATTAGTCTTTTTTAATTTTCCGAATTCAAATTTTCTTAATTTTCTAAATTCAAACTTTAAAATCAATATCCAAACGCATTTGATGAAATCTCTTAATGCATTAAATCAATATAAAAGATGCATATTGATATGAAAATATATTACTCCTGAAATTTAAAAAACAAGCATTGTTGAATACCTATAAACATTGGGTGATGATGATGGCACTTCATCAATTTATTAATAACACTTCAGTTACAATGAAACAAAAACATTTAGATTAGCTACTGGGAATTGAAGCTATAAATCAATGGAATGCCATTTTAGGAACCCTGCATTTTCCTCCGCACACAACAAACACTGTTTCTAACATCTCGGAATTTGAGATTTCTTGACATACCAAACAGGCAAACACTATTGCTTGGAATCTTAAATTGCAGGTAAAAGGTCTTGAGCAGTACTGCAATCCATCAAGAAATAGAAGTTCCTGCTGCTCAATTAAACATACACCGTCAGTACCTTCTTCTAGAAGTCCACCAAAATTAGCATAAAAACTTACTCATCAGGAAAGAAGAATGCAGGTCACCTTACAGTACTATTAATCCACAAGTTGCTCAAAACATGAAGCACAACGGACCAGAGAGAATTGACAAGGAACAAGCCACCTTAACTAAACAGAATACGCTTTTCATTGCTGACAGTTGACACAATTATATTTGCGTATCTGAGACCTCTGCACAGGAAGTAGCTGCTAATAGTTGACAATAAATCATTTGATAATATAACCTGTGACACAGAACTTCAAAATGGAAATGGTGTTTCCAAGTTTCTCATGCACCATAATCCCCATTGTAATACTTGTCTTCTGGATAATAAGACGCATTCACAGTATTTCCTCCAAATTTCCTCCCATTCAGTGCATTTCTTGCGTTTGCACAACTAGTGGTATCAGAATACTCTAGGAACACCTGCAAGAAATAAGAGTATAACATGCTATAAAAAAAAATCTCATATTTTCTGATGCAACCAACTCCATGAGAATAGTTCCCCTTCATTTCAAACTAGTCAGTAACCAGAAAATTGGTAGAATGAATGGCAGATCATTTCCAAAGTATTGGTATACTCATGAAGAAAGTAACAGAGCTCAATGTTAAATACAAAGAAGTTTAAAAAAGGTCCAGCACAAGGAAATCAAATACCTTTCCAGCTCCAGCCGTTTGCTCCTCAATATGACTAGGGCGAGGAATAACAACATTGATCAAGGTTCCTGATCACAACCAAGCACGTATCATTAGCAATATGCAGTATTAAACTGCACAGACCAAAGAACTACCTCTAAAAACACGAAGAACAGCAATTTCCATGATAAGACATTTTTCTGTAAGCCAACATATAGTCTGTCCTATCTACTAAAGAAAATTTTCATCAGAAAGACATAATACAATGAAAACCGATAACAGGTCAGGAAATTGCATCCTACAAATAGTTCCAGATCCAATTCTCAGTGTAGATGAGAGTAACTAAATAATGATGAGAATGTACAATTGTGCGGACGCGGATGTGCAGAGATGCAGTTGCATGAATGTGCAAGTTCTTGCACATAACACACATACATGCAGCCATGCATGGATACACTAACGCACACCCCATGGACAAAAAGAAGGAACGAGGAGGAGTTACAATAGAATTGTATCTTTATGAGCATACCAAATTTACAACATTCATCCCGCATATCTTCTAATATTTCTTCATACTCTTCATCATCTGCTAGTACTTCCATGGTAATTGCCTTTATCAGAAAGAAGATAGAAGAGGATTAGATTTATCAATCATTCAATCAGCATACATCCATTAAACCAAGGATAAAAAAACTGATTGTGAAACAATAGTGTAAGCAAAAAGGATGGATGATCTAAGCTCATAGTTGCAATATCCAAGCATCATATAAATTCGGATAAACATCTGGAATATTATGGCATGCTTTATTTGGGGATAAAGGAACAGGGACAAGTAAAGGAAAATCATCGAAATGCTCAAGAAACAAGCTTCCATTCTAAGCATCCTGGAAATCTCTTTATTTCCTCTCATTCTCCCCATTCTTTAAATAGAGGGTAATGATGGTGGAAGAGTAATAGTAGCAAAGCAGAAAATAAAACCACAAACTAGAAAAAGCTATATGTCACCTCAGTTAAGCATAAAACTTTAGATGGAGTGTGTGCAGATTCTGCCAATGGTGTCCCTCCTCCAGGAAGATTCATGACACCAGCTTGCAGAGCCATTTTCTGCAACCCAAAACCGTATGTGAGCCTAGACCATAGATTTAAGAGTAAATAAAAGCAAGTTTTTTTACCTGGATAGCTATATGCTGCTGAGCCTGAGCCAATATATTTTCCTGTTCCGACTTGGACTGCCCGCCACTGTTTCAGGCAACATGCATCAACTAAAGTGTAGAAAATCATGAATTCAAAAATTAATGCAAAAGTATCATCTGAAACCACACGCACATTTTCTCATAGAAATTTAAGGTTTTCTGAAACCAATTTTACAAGTCCCTTCCTGCTTAATTTTTTCTTCTTAATTTTAATGAATACAACACATTCTTCATTTCTTTCTTTATTGTAGCTAGTTTTCACATAACCCACGATACCCATTAAACAATGAAGAATGTAAAGGAATTTGATTGACAGAACTGCATCATTTTACTACCTTCTTCAACTTACATCCACAAGTCACAATCAGTCTGATTTAACTGATCTCAATATGTGGATTTTCAAAATGAAAAAACTTCTTCACAGAAGCCCATGTTCTAATTAATCTCAAGTCTCTCCCCTCTCCCAACACACACACATGTACACGTTTTTTGTCTCAACCAGCAAATTTAATGAATTAGAGGGGCTAGTCAAATTGTTCACCGTTTGCTTATAGCTTTAGACAACAGATGCAATGCAGAGGCAACAACCAGCCGCATTGCCAACTTTGGCCCCTCCACAGGTCCAAACAATCCTACCGGTTAGGTGAGAGATGGTAGTGAGATTAAAAGAATTGCAGAAGAGAGCAACATTAGTGAATCTCATGTCACTTGTCATTTTGAAAACTAAGAGTCTCGAGCATAAATTTATCATAGTTGTTGAAGTGCATGGAAATCAGCAACACAATAAAAGGAATAAGATTCCAGAAAGCTAAAGAGAAAGGATAGGTTTTATGAAACTTCTTTCATATACGGACATAAATTCCAACAACAATTTTTTTTTGAAAAAAAAATTTTAAAAACAAAAATTCGCACAAACTGAAAAGGCTACCATATCAAAGCATGGAAGCAATAGTAAATAGAAAGGTAACATAAAAAGGGAGCATAAATTTTGATGCATGCAGGAGTTAACAATGATGTAACTTCCAGCCAAATCCAGGCTCGTTTGGCTAAAAAGACTAACCTTTCAGTAGCACGACGGACAGTTAGGGTTTTATCTCCCATTTTCAAGCCATTAAGAGCAGCACATGCAATATCAGTCACTGCAGGATCCTGATGCGCTTGCACATTATCTCACCAGTTAGAAACATAAAAGACACCCCAACATTATACACACTTAATTATACATTTAGTCTAAAAAACAGAAAGACAGCCAGGTTTTTATCAGCTAATTCTAAATCCAACCTAAGATGAGAAAAGTCTATATTGAATTTCCGCAACCCAGATACTATTCAGATCAAAACATAATATTTTTAGCTGATGAGACCCATACCAAATGAATGTAATGCTTGAATTCACTCACCTGATAGACACAGAAACCATATCCTTTAGAATTCCCAGTGTCTCTGTCCTTCACAAGGTCAAAACCACGGAGAGATCTGCATAGGTCAAGAGCATACCATTGCAACAATTAAAACATCTATACAGCATCCCAACTACTTACAATTAGCTTAATAAATATGAAGAACAAAAAACACAAAGAAGCCCATTGCAAAATAAAAATTGCAAATGGAAGACAAATATGGTTTAGCTTCATACCCGAAAGACTCTAGCAACTCTCTTATCTGTGACTCAGTAAAGTAATAAGGCAATCCACCCACAAAGACACGATCAGGCCCTTCTGCTCCAGTAATTGTACTGAAAATCAGATCATGAATTAGCAAACAAAAGTAAAGGAAGATCCTTCAACTCAGTGTAAAATCCATCTGTGCTGATGCAAATGGACAGTGGTGATATATATATGCACAAAAACATCAAAAAGACGGACTCCAACTGAAATTAAATCATCATTAATGCCAGACTAATGGAAAGAGATGCTTAACCAGTCTTCAAATTAATAAAAAGGAAGCACTTGCTTACCCTGGTACAAGACCAACAGCAGCTAAGTTAAGAAGAGGATTTGGTTGACTAGGACCCAGTGTTGCAGCCAACGATGGATTGTAGTCTGTAGGCCTTCGAACTCTCACAGCAACCCCCTAGAGAGACCAAAGATGCAAGTCAAACAAAGTAGTACCGACACATAGAGCATGCCGTCAAGTTAAATGCACTTAATGAGATTCACATCCAAGAAAAAGAAGGCAAGAAATATTAAGCATATAGAAATGTTTTTACCCAACTCTTGCCATGAAAATCTTAAAGTTCAAGCCCCACAGCATGAGGATAAACAAAGCCACCAAAATCACTCATTATCCCAACCAAAGATTCGTGAATAGTTCATTCTAGTCATATAACATACCAGGTCAATTCATGAATGGTCAATTGTTATCAAAGGATACGCAAAGAGCCTTTATACATCTAGAAAGCACATTTTCATGATGTATAAGAAAATAAGTTACACAACCTACATAACTGTCTCCTGCTAATACTTCAGCAAGCTTAAGCCCAAAGTCTCACACGTAAAAGAAGTTAATGATGGTCAACGATAAAAAGTTCGGCAAACATGGGTTTTAGAAAACTAATACATATTATCTGCTGTTGCAAATCCATATGCTAATGAGTCTTATCCATCAAACTACCATTTTCCATTTAATATTCAATCATTACACCTGTAGTTAGAGGGGAAAAATTATATAATAATGCAAAATATCACATACTGCTCTTTCACTAACATATGTAAAAAGAAATAAGGAAAAGGAATCAGAATGGTTTGCCTCGAAAATGATTCCATCCAATGCCATTGCATTGCTTGCTTCTTCAACAGTTCTCATCTCCACGAATGCGAATTTCTTCTCATGATTTATGTATACATTCACCACAGCATCACCTGCAAATGAAAAAAATTGGGTTGTGCAATGTGCACCACGATTAAATAAAATTGTTAGAAATACATCCAGAAGATCACTAGTAAAGACATTGACAAGCTGAACTACCTGGACCAGCAGCATTTCCTCCGATTGAAGACATAACATGGCTAAAGAATGTTGCGATTGTCTGTTTCAAAACATAAGAAACCATATAATGTTCCAATGTTGCAAGGAAATCACCCTAAATATTGGCAAGACACAAGATAGGAGATATTAAAATGATTCAAAATGATAAATCCAGTATCTTGACAGCAACCAGTCATAGAACATCATGAACAGACAATCTTAAAAAAATATAACATTATACCCCCTCAATACATAACAGTTAACATGTTAGACCCTGATATGTAGGAGCATCTGCAAAAATTTCTGAAAGAACCCATGTGACGTAGAGCTTTTAAAACAAGATTTCTTCAAAGATCCACTAATTGAACTAACTAGCAAAAAAATAATACTGGTTGGAAGACAGATAGCATTTTGACTGCTACAAAAGCCTTTTTATAGCATTCTTCTTACAATTCCTAAGGCATTGGTCTTTGCTAGATTTTTAAAATCAAATTCAAGGGGGATAACTCCTAGAATGCACTCACAATATATACCCACAAAAATTCCAAGAGCAATAATTAAAAAAAACTACAGTTTAAGAAGGTGCTGGCAATTTCACATAGGAAACAAATATGGTGACAAAAAGACAATGAGAGAAGAAACACAATTTATGCATTTATAAAAGCTTTTGTAATGCTCAAATTACAATTTCTAAAAATGTTGAAGCAAGTTAACATTTTATGAATGCATTTAATCACACAAACAGGAAACCAAAAACTGAGGTCAAACCTGTTCGTTAGCCAAGGGAGGGAGACCACCAACATATACACGCCGTGCATGCCTTGTAGCCTGTAAGATAGAAAGAGGGTAGAGTCATAGAGGATACAGTCATAGTGAATCCATAGATACATACTTTTTACAGCTAATATGAATAAGCATCATTGTATATCCACCTGCTGGGTCATGGCCTGGGCAGGCATTAATGGAAGAACTCCAAACTGAAACACATAATAAGAGAAAATTATATGCACACATGCGACAACATATGCATCAATACAAAAACAATACAAGAAATTTGAGACTGATATTCCAAAAAACCATGCACCTGTTGTGTTCCAAATTGTAAAGTGTTCTGTAACACTCCTGGCATTGTTTGAGGAACACTTGGCAGTTGCCCAGCATCATTCACTAAAAGGAACAAGTAATTATAGAGAGATATAAGTCATGAAGCTAAAAATCTGAAGACATTTTTCTACTATATAAAAAAAAAAATCCTGATAATAAATTTAATAATATCAGATGTATGGAAGTTAAGAACTATCAACCTCGTCATAAAGCTAGATAAAGAAGCCTATTTCATACCTAAAGTATATGATTCAAATTATAAAGAAATCAATTCCATCACTGGAGATGCTAGGGACATATTTGTAAGTCTACCAAATGGCACTCTTGTCAGTTGAGGACGAACAAGATCCAGCTAATTGATGCATTGGTTCTCCGTTGAACATTATATCTACAGTGGTCACTCCGATGGGTAGCACAGTGGGACATGTAGCCCAACATTGCCTTCTTACCCAAATGATATACAGAAACACAAACAAACAACAGACAACAACCAAACAACAGAACGATGCTTCTCAGTTTCAGTAGTAGTAAACAATAGATAAAAACTAAAAGAAAAGGAAATAAGTCTTAAGATAAAATTAAAAATTTACTACAATGCGGCATCAATAGCAGACTGAGATGCTATACTACAAGGAACTACTGTACTAGAATGGTAGAACCTATGTATATCTAGGGCAGAGACTAGATGCAGACCTGTCATGGCAGCACCAGGAAGCATGCCCACTGCAGATGGAGCCATGTCAAAACCACTTTTCCGCTTGCTGTCAACAAAATTAATCTTAAGATGGTCATGATGAAACCATATATAAAGGAAATTAAAAAAAAAAAAAAAAAAAAGATTAAGATAATCAGAAGTAGAGAACATAGATTTCATCTGATAGACAAGGCGGATTAATGGTGTTTGATAGGTGGAAGTGAACTAAGTGCAATTTAACCCCAGCAGCAACACAAATTGCTGTTATGTTTCTCTAATAGTCAGTGCCATGAAAAACTTTGGTTGTACCGAACACTGGCAAACTCATAATGGGGTTTTCAAGCTTGGATAATTATTGTCTTAAGATGCCAAGATAGCCCCCACTTGCCGAGAGCTGTTCAAATTAAGTCGAAGAAATAGCAAATTGCACTATGATAGTCCACTGCAACGAGATTCTCTGGAACACAAACAACTCCAGATTTTTTTTTTTTATTTGTTTGTTAATCAATTGTTTGCAGCCATTACTCTTGGCCTCCCACCCTCAGTTCATGTACACAAGCAGGCAATCTATACATTACATTTCATTACAAGGTCCAATCTCACAAAAAAAGGGGTAAAATTTTGCACACCAACATTAAGAGATCACTTACCTTTTTGAAGGAGAACGCGAACGAGACCGTGACCTGGATCGATTCCGAAATCTACCTTGAGAATAAGAACTTGATCTATTTCCCTTCCTTCTTTCTCTATCACCATCAAAATCACGGTGCCTACAAAAGAACAATAATATTAATAATCACAATATTACTCTCACTTCTGCACCAACAACCATCGCTAAATGGATAACTAACAATAATTTCATATTTAATGAGCTCAAAAATCAATAAAACATATCCAAAAAACAGTAAAATAACACGATAATGAACTTCATATAGCACCAAAATAAATAAATGAGAAAATTCTAACCTATGAAAATTGCGACCACGGCTACTCCTTTCATGACGGTCAAAATCACCAAAATTTTCTCTTCTTCTATCATCCCTCACACTTCCATCTTTATACCCACCGCGATAGCGGTCATGATCTTTTCCCCTGCCTCGAGTGCTTGACCTATCATGTTCAGATTCACGAGAACTGTGCGTCTAGCATAAAAAAGGACATAAATTTTCGATGGAAAAAGGAAAAACGAGCGTACTTCTAGTTGCTGTTAAAGTTTAAAAATTTGTAGAGAAATAAAGAAGAAATAGCAGTACCTTGTGACGGGAGACACGATCAGTCTGAGAAGTGTAATCATCGCCATTTTCATCGAATCCTGTATCGTTAGAAGACATTGTAGCTTAAATTTTGAGAAAATCAAGAACCCTAATTTCGATTTTGGTTTGAATTTTGGCTTAATGGAGAAGAAGCAAGATGAAGGGAAACCCAAAAAAAATCCTTTTTGACGTTGTCAAATATTTTATAAGCCCAGATATAAATTAAATTTGAAGCCCATGTTCAAAGGCTTAGGCTTGGTTTTCTGTTTTAATGGACTCAAATATTTAGTCCCTACTTATTTCACACGTGTTGGCTTTTTTTTTAATCTCAAATGCACCTTTACATAATTTTAAGGGTAAATATACTTAGTTGTCTTTGTATAATACTTAAAATCTTTTATATGTTTTTAGATTTTCAATCTTTTTTTTTTCGATTAAATTTTTTAATCATAAAATTCTTTTAACCAAAATGTTCTTTATTAAGATGTGAAAAAAATAAAAACAAAAATACTTAAAGTCGGATGATCTACATATTCTATTTTTAAAGCCATTAGGATTTTATTTTATTTTATTTGCAATTCGATCAAAAATATTTTATTTGATAAAAAAATTAATCAAAAGAATAGACTGAACATTTCAAATATTTTCATAAACAAATAAAATGCAATTAAAAATCTAAGAACATATAAGAATTTTTAAATATTATTGATATATTTACCTTAAATTTAAATTCTCAAAATAACCAATATAATTGGGATTTAAAGAAAAACCAAAACGTTTAACAAACTAATGGTCAACGAGAATTGAAGTAAATAGCTCTGAAGATGGATCCAGCGGTACCTGAATCTGAACTTTTGTCTACTTGTTGGGATGTTTGTCCCAATGGGAGAAGTTTCTTCGAGTTTTTCCTATCCCATAGTCATACAATTTTCACAGTTCAAAATTCGATTTCTTAATGAAGTTCGATTTTGACTTCAAAACAAAAGCAAGAATCAAGGTGTTCTCTCCAATGATGCTCCCTGTTGCTTCAATGTGCTGCACAAGAAGACCTGATCGGAATAAAGTCGATCTAGCCATTTCAATGTCTAAGTTGGCTTATTTTTAGTGATAAAGATATATCAATATATTATATATCTTGTGGCTGTTTATATGTTTCTTATCTTTTTTTATATATATTGTTTTTCGAGTAAATTATAAATTAATTCTTCTTGTTTTACAAAACTAACTAAATAGTCAATTTTATTTAAAAATTTTATTAATTAATTATTTTCATCCATTTTATATTCTTTTTTTATTTATTTTGTTTTTTTTAAGAAATAGAAATGGGATAAAAATAAGTCAATAATATCAAAATGTTGATGAAAAAATAAAGCATTTTTAAAAGAAAATAATATTCGATTAAATATGGTTAGTATATAATCAAAGAACTAATCAATTAGTTCTTAAAACTAGAGGGACTATTTAATTTATTTTACAAAACTATAGAGACTGATTTATAATTTACTCCCTATTCTCCTTAAACTTCTCTTAGTTCTTTGTTCTTTGCTGTCAAGTTTCCTTACATGTAAGTATTCTTTAGTTTTTTTTTCCTTATAGGTTCAATAGTAAGAGTATTCTCGGATTAACTTTTACATACTTCGAGACTAATTTTTTCTAGATGTGGCTAAGGGATACTTCTCCAATCACGCTCTCGAATATTTTAAAAATAAATTTTCAAAAGTGTTGATCATAAAAATCAAACCTTAAACCTTATCCACAAATCGACACTTGTTTACCAATGGGCTAGTTGTGGATATTCTTTAGTGAAAGCATGTATGTTATTTCCACAACATAACTTGCAATCCTATACCACAAAGAATTAAATTATAATTTTCTAAACAAAAAATAATAAATCAAAGATTAAAAGCCAAATTACTAAATATACTAAAACAAAATAAAAAACACTATTCACACATTGTTCCTTTAGTGCACACACATTTTGCTCTCACTATTCATTAATCGTGCACTCTCTCTAAAATCACTATTCATTTATTATCGCTACAAAAAATAAAGCCTCTAAAGACAAAAAATTATGTCGCTAAACCTATATGTTTTGTCATTATTTTCTTTTAGTGATTGAATGATGACAAAATCAAACTTTAGGTAAAATATTTATTGCTAATAATTTATCAACGAAAGTTATCGTTTGTCATAAAATTAGCGACGGACAAGTTGTCGCTCTATTGAAGTACTTCCGTTGTCGATGAAGGAAATATTTTTTTTAATTTCTTATTAGTGGTTTAATATTTGATTGTAGTAGCAAACAACTAAAAATGAAATTATAACATGAAATGTTATTATATAAAATAATATAATATAAAATCAAATAAAATTATACAAACGTGCTCTAGTGTACAAAAATAATAAAAAGTTATAAAAAGAGCTAGTCTAATCGAGAGGGTACAGGTAATGCAACAAGTACTTCAATCTTATTCACAAAATCCCAATTTAAAATCCCTTAAGTAAGCTTAAATTCGATCCATGCACGATATGATCTCATTTTTTTCTTTTGCATGTACGAGTCAATGCACAATTACTTAAACACCACCGCACTAATAAATACTCCAAGGTTTTATAAATCTTTTTCTAAACATCTAACAAAATTTTAGCGAGAATCTTCCTTGTAAATTGGATATTTTTCAATTATCGGAGACTCCACTCGCACAAAAAATAATACACTCAAAATACACAACACATTCACCACAATCCCTTTAAAGGGATCCTCAACTAGTAATATCAACACGCAAATGAATCTAAAGTATTCTAAATTACTTTAGAGATAAAGGTTTTTTTGGTGTCCAATCTTTTTTTTTCCTGTGTTTGGTGCCCAACCATCTATTTCTAATGATTGGCTATTTAACTTTTGATTTTTTTTCTCGTTTTGATATCTCAAATCGTATGAGACACAATTTTGCTGATATGTCCGACAAAAAGTGCCAAGTGACATTTTTAACCGTCATGTGGAAGTTGAGAAACTTATTAATTAAAGTTAAACGACGTGTTTAACTTTAAATCTTGCCCAAATTTTTAATTTGATTATTATGAATTGTTAATGATAAATAATTCATTCATCCTTCAAGTTTTTTGACACTAATTATGCATGGAAGTAAAAGACTCATCTCAATAATTTAGCTTTTGAATAAAGTTGGTAGTCTCTTTATTGTCGATTGTAACGAATCGAACTTTCATTGTCCACAAAATATAGTTTTTATCTACTACAATTATGACCCATTTGGAAATTTCTTGGGTCAAAAATGGAAGGTTTGTAGAAAAAACTTCTCAATAAAGACATTGGTAATGATACCGATCTTGGAAAAAAAATAATCCATAGAAAACTAGATATATATCACTTAGAATTCAGCACAAAATAGAAGAGAGGTCATGAAAAAACTAGGGGAAATTTTTTCTTAAAGACTTGTAATAAATATTGTGCAATCTATCTTAGTTATAACATGAGCAAAATTTAGAAATTAATTAAATGTTAAATTTTTGACTTGGATTGTTGAGAAGTTTACTACTTATGTGTTATTATTCAAGATGTAGGATTGTTAAAAATAACGTTTTGTGAATGCATGTATAGTTTAAGTGTAAATAATCTATAAAATCTAATGATCGAAGCGAAATTTAATGTTGGTGTTAAGGAAGAGCCCAAAGTTCAAAAATTGGAAGGCTAGAATAATAGTTTTTATCGAGGAAGGAACAATTTGAAAGGAATGCCTAAAAAATTAACAAGTTGTAGAGATAGATAGTTTGTTTGTTCAAACCATTTAAGGAAAAGATTTAAAGTTAAATGCATCATTTAACTTTACTAAAAAATTAAAAATAAAAAAAAATCATTTCGAGAGAACATGAGGAGATAGAAAATTTGTTCGTTCGAATTTTCATTAAGAGGAGAGAGAGGAGGAAAAGCCTAAATTAGTTAGGAAAAATCTACATTGTTGGTGTGAATAGATCGATCGAAAGGAAAAAAATTAGGTAGAAAACGAGGAAAAAAGGAAAAATCGAGGAAGGATGGAAGCAAAAAAAGGTATCAATCCGGATAAACGAGGTCGGCTTTTTCAATTAAACGAATCTTCAATCTTATTCTTTTTTATATTGTTTGTTTGATTCTTTTGATAATCATGTTGGGTAAATATGTTTTAGTGTTACCGGTAAGGCTATGTGGGTTATTATGTTTCTTGTATGGTTATTGTGTTTTCTCTCTAGTTCTCTCTTTATTTTGTCTATGTGTCCGGTATTTTTTTTTTTTTTAAGACAAGAAATCATCGACCTTGTCTCTTTATGTATTGTGAAAAATGGTTCTGCATCATACATGGTATTTTTTGTATTTTTCCGTAAACCGTGAGTTATGTTGAGTATTATATTAACTACAACTATACTTAAATCACATAAAATACATTTAACATATCAAATACAATTCAAATTAAAACAAAAACAAAAAAGAAAAAGAAAAAGAAAAAAAAAGGATAAATTAAAAACCTAGATCGATAGAAGTACCGTCCGAAGAAAAGATTATGGTGCCTAAAGTTTTGCCAACGAATATCGATGCTACAAAATGAAAATAATAAATTAAATATGCCACATTAATTAATTAACCTGAAAAATAAACAAACTAATACAACGGTTCTTTTTTTCTTAAGAAAAAAAGTAATAAAATTAATAATCATAACTAATTAATAACTAATAAAAATAATAGTTACAAATAAAATTATTGCATTTATTATTAATTGACATAAATAAGTATATGATAAACAACAACTAATTAACTTATATTAACACAACTAATTAACAATAATAGTTAGATGTAAAGCTAATTAACATCAAATAACATGCATTAATTTAACTACAAATAATAACTAATAAAAAACAACAACAATAAAAATCATCAATTGACATTTTATATATAAATAATAACTAATAAAAAACAACAACAATAAAAATCATCAATTGACATTTTATATATATATAAAATGTCAATTGATGATTTTTATTGTTGTTGTTTTTTATTAGTTATTATTTGTGTGTGTGTGTGTACAATA